ATAAATAAGTTATTAAATGAATATGTAAAATACAGAAAAAAAAAAAATACAAATTACGTTACATAAAATTTTATATTAATATATATTTTATATTATTATATTTTATATTATATTTTATATTATCATAATAGTTACAAATATAATGGAATACTATCTAGTCTATAATATAGTCTATAATATAATGGAATACTATCTAATGTATTTTATATTAGTATTCCTATATAGTTTTATAATTTCATTATATATCTGGTCTCTGCGACACCAGCAATTTATGACTTTGTAACTAATTTGTAAACTATAAAATTTATAAAAGCATGGGAGGAACCAGCTCAAAGCCAGTGGTTAAAAATCCCAATGCAAATGTTGTAAATGATGTAATAATCGAGGAAAATTTAAATGAAGAAATTCTAAATGAATTAAAATATTTACTATTAATATTGACGATACTAACTCTTTTAAATAGTACTCTTAAAGTATACAAGATGCACAAAAATACATTAAAGAAAAAATATTTAACAAGAGCTGCATCTGTAGATAACATTGTGTAATATTATAAATTACAAATATAATGTAATAATATGTCTATAATAAAATTTTTTTTAATTCTAATGTGCTTTCTCGATTATTAAATTAAAAAAAAAAAAAATATATAAACACATATAAATATAGATGGAATGGACTAATGTCCTATTGAAATTGAATGAATGTAAGGAAAATTTTTCAAAGTCTTACAGATCAATTAATAGAAAATCAAATGTTTCAAATGAAACATTTGCAAAGCATTTTGAAATTTTAATAACAAACTTTAAATTAGCCAAAAAGACTGTAAGAGAAAATAGTAAAAATTTAACAAGAAAGCAACAAATAGAAGCTTTCAAAATAATCAAAGGCTATAAAACTAAGTTGAGTAAAATAACAACTCTAAAGGGTTTAAAATTAGCCCATGAATTTAGTTCAGAAAGTGACGAGAACTCGACAGACGACAAAATGCCTCAAACCCCTGTAGATTTTTTAAATATAGCTTCTAAACTCCTCCCTGAATTTGATGGAAGACATGAAAACCTTCAAAGTTTTCTGTCAGCATTGGCATTAGTAGATACCATTTGTGAGGGCAATAATGCAATAGCTATAAATTTAGTTAAAACTAAATTAAAAGGTAATGCCATAAATCTACTAAAAGGAACAGAACAAAATATACAGCAAGTTATAGAGTCATTATCAAGCAATGTAAAAGGAGACTCAGTTGACGTATTAACTGCAAAGTTAATGAATGTCAAACAGTCCCAAAAAACAGCCAACAATTACGTTAAAGAAGTAGAAGAGCTTACAAAAAGCCTACAATCAGCATATATAGCAGATGGTTTACCATCAACCTTAGCTGAGCAATATTCTACTAAAACGGCTGTTAAGGCTATTACAGCCAATGCTAATAATGACAAAGTTAAATTGATCATGCAAGCATGTCAATTTAACACAATGAATGATGTAATATCAAAATTCGTTGACTGCTGTACTGAAACCTATAGCCAGCCAAATGCCGTCTTATATTTCAATAGTAGCCGCAGAGGTTACAATAGTGGCTACGGAGGACGAGGATATTATAACAGATATAGAGGAAGAAACAACAATCAATTTATAAGTCAGAGACGTTATAATGGTTACCGCGGAAGAGGATTCAATGGTAACAATAATCGTCGAAATGACAATGATAATAGAAATAACCGAGGGTCAAATAACAACAGAAAAACACCGAGACTATATAATACTAAGACCAGATGATTTTCCTGAAGATATTGCAATACCAATGAGAAGTACAATTGGCAAAAATTCTATTACTTTGCCTGCAAGATCAGAAGTAATAAGACCAATTACAATAAACTCAACTAATAAAGAAGTACTAATACCAAATCAAGTAATTCAAGAAGGAATTTTTATTGCTAACACAATAGCAACAACATCACAAGCATTTGTGAAAATAATAAATACCACAGAAGAAAATGTTGTTATACATAATATAAAAATTAAAACCGAAAATTTAAATGATTATGAAAGAATAACATTAGATGAAACAAAAAATAATGATTTAAAACTAGAAAAACTGAACAAAAATTTTCCAGCATTTATAAAAAGTGATCTAAACGATCTGTGTAAAAAATATATAGACGTATTTGCACTAGAAACTGAAAAAATTTCAGTAAACAATTTTTACAGACAAAAGCTCAAACTAAAAACAAATGAACCTACTTACATTAAAAATTATAGAATTCCTCACGCACATAAAGATGAAATTAGACGACAAGTAGATAAGTTAATTGAGAATGACATAGTCGAACCATCGACTTCAGAATATAATAGTCCTATATTATTAGTACCAAAAAAAATCTTCCTAATCAAAAAGATAAAAGATGGAGACTTGTTGTAGATTATAGATCAGTAAATAAGAAGCTAGTCGCAGATAAATTTCCATTGCCAAGAATAGATGATATTCTTGACCAATTAGGCAGAGCTAAATATTTTTCCTGCCTTGACTTAACGTCAGGTTTTCACCAAATTGAACTCAGTAAAGATTCTAGAGATATAACCTCATTCTCTATAGATAATGGCTCATACAGGTTTAAACGACTCCCATATGGTCTCAAAGTAGCACCAAATTCATTTCAGAGAATGATGACTCTTGTACATGGATGATTTAGTTGTTTTAGGCTGTTCCATAAAACACATGTTCAAAAATCTTACAGATGTTTTCGAAATATGTCGTAAATATAATCTTAAATTGCATCCAGATAAATGTTCATTTTTCAGTCACGAAGTGACATATTTAGGACATAAATGCACAAATCAAGGCATACTTCCAGACGATAGTAAGTTTCATATTATTCAAAACTATCCAACTTCCCAAAATGCAGATGAGATAAAACGATTTGTAGCTTTTTGCAATTACTATAGACGGTTCGTCCCTAATTTTGCTCAATATTCTAGAATATTAACAAGATTATGCAAAAAGAAAGCTGAATTTATCTGGAGTACAGAGTGTGAAAATTCATTTCAATATTTAAAAAGTTCATTAATAAGTCCACAAGTATTACAATATCCAGATTTTGAAAAGGAATTTTGCATAACAACAGATGCAAGTAAATATGCCTGTGGTGCAGTACTTAGCCAGAAATATGGTGATAAACAACTCCCAATAGCGTATGCTTCTAGAGCTTTTACAAAAGGAGAAAGCAATAAATCTACAATAGAACAGGAATTGGCCGCAATTCATTGGGCAATTACTTATTATAGACCGTACATATATGGTCGAAAGTTTTTAGTCAAAAGCGATCACCGCCCATTATCTTATCTATTCTCCATGAAAAACCCGTCATCTAAGTTAACTAGGATGCGTTTAGATTTAGAGGAATATGATTTTGTAGTAGAGTATATTAGGGGTAAAGAAAATTATACAGCAGATGCATTATCAAGAGTGAACTTTGATGATATTAAAAATATACAAGAACAAAGAAACCTATTCAAGGTAGAAACAAGGTCACAATCAAGAAAAAAAGTTGAAAATATGACCATAAACGAAAACAAAGAAATTCAATTTAATGAAAAAATTTATGAAGCTCTTGAAGAAAATATAAAAAGAAAAAGTGCCATAGTATATACTAAGGGTAATACTATCAATATAAAGCTAGGTAAAATAATAAAAGGCACAATTAATATGAACGACATTACTACTAACAGAAAAATTGATTTAGGTCAACTCTTTCTGAAGCTTGAAAAAATAGCTAGTAATAATGGAATAAAAAAGGCCCAAATGTCTCTAGGAGACGACATATTTAAGATTATCCGGATAAATACGTTCAAGAAAGAAGGAACTAACATGTTAGACAAGTTTAAAATAGAGCTCATACCTAGCAAAACTAGACTATTAACAAAAAAGGATATTCTAGAAATCCTTAAAAAGTACCATGACGATCCCATTTCTGGAGGACACCCGGGAATCTCTAGAACATTATCAAAAATTTCAAAATATTTTTATTGGAAAAATATGACAAGAGACATAAAAAAGTATGTCAAGTCATGCATTAAATGCAAAATAAATAAATCAGGGCGCAAAACTAAAGAACCTATGGTAATTACACCAACACCAGTAAAAGCATTTGATACGGTCATTATAGACACAATCGGACCTCTACCTAAAACGGAGGAACAAAATCAATATGCAATCACTATGGTATGTGATCTCACAAAATACCTTGTTGCCATACCAGTAAATAGCAAACATGCTCAAATAGTTGCAAAAGCAATATTTGAAAATTTCATACTTTTATATGGACCCATGAAAACTATAATCACTGACATGGGAAAGGAATATAAAAATCAAATATTAACAGAAATCTGTAAATTGTTACAAATACAAAATAAAACATCAACACCTTATCATCACCAAACTTTAGGAACAATAGAAAGGAATCATAGAACATTTAACGAATACGTTAGAAACTATGTAAAATCTGACAAAACTGACTGGGACAGATGGTTAAAATATTATACTTATTGTTATAATACAACACCATCTGTAGTACATGGTTACTGCCCCTTTGAGTTAATTTTTGGCAAAACACCTTCTGTGTATGAGTTTTTAAATCAGGAACAAATAGACCCTATTTATAATTATGAATCATATGATAAGGAGTTGAAATACAGACTTCAGGTAGCCCAAAAACGAGCAAATGCCCAAATACAAAAATATAAACAGACCCAGAAAGTAAACTATGATAGAAAAGAAAATAGAATTAAGGTAGAGATAGGAAATTTAGTATTAATTTCAAATGAATCAGGACATAAGTTAGATAATAGATATATTGGACCTTATATAGTAACTAGTAT